ATTTTTTTATGATTTTTTCGTGAATTTTTCAAAGGGTGTACACTGATTTTTCTGAATGACGGACCCCTCGGCACTTCGTGTGCACTGGACTCACCCGAGGACGCGCAGAGCAGGGCGAGGAGCCCCAGCCGCAGGGAGGCCGCCATGGTCAGCAGGACGACGCGGTGGTTGAGGCGGCGGCGGAGGAGGAGGCGCAGGACGACGAGGAGAAAGGCGAGTGGGCTAACGGCCGGCACGGTGCGGAGTGGCGCGGCGGCAGAGGCAGAGTGAGAGGCGAAATGAGCTGGCAGTTCTTATATATATCGGCCATGCCTCCTTGCACCCAGGCAGGCAGGCAGGCAGGTAGGCGGGCGGGCTGCCCGCGCGCGATCCCCACCAGGCAGACGGAGCTGGCAGGCCGCTTTGCGCGCGACCCGCGGCGGCGGCGTCCTGGCGTATGGTCCTGGCGCCGCAAAGGGCAGCGAAGGGCTCCTCCGCACCTCGCCAGGGGTGCGATCAGCTCCGCGGCAGAAAGAAAACACAGCAGCTTGATCTTGTTCACGCTTCTCTTACGACTCGTTTCCGCGGCATGACGGACAAAGAGCACATCGGTGTAACGTTTTCGGCACGCGCGCCCGACGACTGGAACTGGAGTAGTATCCAGCACAGTGATCCAGCCGCGTCTTGTAGCGTGCTGGGCTGGGTGAACAACCTCCTCGTCTTGTGCCCACCGCCGCTGCAGCAGAAGAGACCATCAGCGAAATTCACACTTCACGCCTCGCGCTCCGCCCGGCCCCGGCGGCCTCCACTACGCTGATGACTGGTGCCCGCCCCCCGCCCCCCCGCCTCCTTTCCAGTAACGGGCCCGGGATCAGGGACCCGCGGGCCCGGGATCGGGCCGGGATGCAGCAGGTGCATTTACGGGCGGAGGAGTCCCACCCAGCCCTGTGCCCTAAATTATTGGAGTACCGTACTCCAGAGCCGTCCTACAGCCTGGCAGCGTAGGCCACCCGCGTGCGCCCACGCTGTGCAGGTCTGCCTAGGGGATCGTCCAGAAAGTACGCCCGTTTTTTCTCAGATTTATTCGGCGAATTTTGGGAGCTGATCGCCTGCGAGGCTCGGGGTAGGCCACCCTGCAGTACACGCACGCGTTGCAGACAAGATGTTGCCTACCTAACAGGCACTAGGAGCGCCTGCAGAGACTAAGCTTGGCAGTTTCGGAACTGCGAATGACGGACGTACTCACTGGATGACTCCTAGCGGCGTGTCTGTTTGTGGGCACAAACATGTGACATTAAGTCGAGTTAAGTTGAGCCCGACCCGACTATGAAAGATCCTTTTTCGGGCACTATATGATAACCGACACCCCCAGTGAGTGATCGGTGGAGTTGGCGGCTTCCTCGCCCCGTAGTGTTTGCCTAGTTGCGTCCGGGACCTTTCGGCTTGTCAGGGATTGTGTGCAGAGTTGGCCCTTAATTGGCTTCTGCCCACTCACTGGGGGCGTCGGTCGGTTATCATATATTGCCCGAAAAAGGATCTTCCATAGTCGGGTCGGACTCAGTTGACTCTGGCAGCCAGATTTGTGGCCACATACAGCGACGTTGGGGATCGTCCAGAAAGTACGTCCTTCTTTCCTCATATTCAACCGGAAAATTGCGGGAGCTCGGCGCCTGCGAGATGCGGGGTAGGCCACCCCGCAGTACACGCGTGCACTGCAGGCGAGATGTTGCCTACCATCAGGCGCTATGAAAACTTGCAGAACCTCAACTGGGTAGTTTCGTTCGTAACGGCGAATGCCGGACGTACTTTCTGGATGGTCCCTTGTCTAGCGACGAGCCGCGTGGGTATAGGCCACCCGCGCCCACCCGAGCTGTGCGGGCCTGCCTAGCTGCCGGCGGGCCGGAGCTCACCCGGTGCGACGTGTTCTGCTGAGATTATGATGAAACGGTCCGCCGTTTGTTGTCAGTGTCAATGCGGTCGCCTAGTGGCTCACGCTCTGTACATGGCGCCCCTGCTTCGAAACGTGAGACGGGGGCGTGTTAGGAAACAGGCGAATAAAAGTGATATAGTTTAATAGTTGATACTTCTACCGCAAAAATAGGTTTGCAAGTTTTTGTCATCCAGCTCCGAGGACGTTACAAGAAAGAACTTAAGTCACTGGTTTTGTTTGTAGAAGGCAAAGTAATCTATCGAAAAGGAAAAAAAGTTCAAGTATTCCGACAGTTTCACCTATGAAAGAATTGAAAACAGTTTTGTAAGTACTAAAAACATACTCGTGAGAGTATTTTTTGAAATGCAGACGAATATCACACCACACAAGACGAAGGCAATCAATAAGTTAACGTATCAATCTAATAAGTCCTGCAAGTCGTTCTAAGCAGCGGTGGCGACCGGGGCTGGAGCTGCCTCGGCCTCTGGGGCCACCGAGACCACCGGGGCGGCTGGCGCGGCTGAAGCCGGGGCCGGGGCCGGGACAGGGGCCGGGGCCGGCTCCACCAGCTTCTCGGGCTCCACGGCGATGGGGGCGGCGATGGGGGCGGCTACGCTGGCGGGGGCCTTGTTGCTCTGGCCCGGCGCGTAGCCCTGGATGCTCTCGAGCGTCTTGCGCGCCGTCTCCTCCACGCTCTTGATGATCTGCTCGGCGAGCTCCTTGGCGCGCTTGATGATGTTGCTGCTGATGCTGGCCAGGTCCTCGAAGAAGCCCTTGGGCAAGGGGACGGGGTTCTTCTCGGCCTCGGCGATGATCTTGTCGGCCTCGACGATGGCCTTGTCGGCCTGGGCCGCCTCTTTGGTGGGCAGGCTGGCCGCCAGGGCCAAGCCCAGACACAGCGCGAAGCACAGAGCGGTGGAGCGCATGGCGAGGGTCGTCTCGGAACCAAACTGGAGTCGGGGTCGTCTCCGGGGCCTCATATAAAGCACGGGTGCCGGGCGGGCCGAGGGTGGGCCCGCGCGGGGGCGGGCGGGGGAGGGTGCGGTGACCGATAGGGGGCTGATAGAAATGAGTGACATCCCGGAGTAGCCGGCGGCGGGTCTGCTGTGATCAGCCCCAGCCCGCCTATCGGTCGCTACCCTGCTCCATTCCGAGAGCCAGCTTCAGACCTCATTAACAGACGGGCCGAGAAGAGACACGTTGACGCGAGAGGGTGAGAGAGTGAGAATACAAAGTTTCACGCGGCACTCTCACAATGGGTGACGTCGCATTGGTTGAATCATTCGGAATTGTGTGGCGGCGCGTCATGAGAATACATGCGTCATACTCACTCTCGTAGTTAAATGTGTGGAGACAAACTACTGTAGTTGTCACTGCTTGCCACGCACTTTTTGCAAGTCAAGTGCACTCTTTTTGTTTGTATGCGTAGAGTATGCCAATATACCTCTCTGCCCTATCGGCCCCGCCTTTTTGATCTGTTTTTAAATGAATTGAATAAACGTGAATGAAATTTTGGTGGGCGGCGGCGGAGCGGGTTGACCCTCTTGGCTCAGCAGACGAACCCTAGAGAGGTATACCGATAAAGCCGACCGCTCGTTCACGGCGCGTTCCTGCTGCTCCTGGAGCCTGCGGCCGCCTCCAGTCGGAGGAGTGTGAGTGGCGCTCGTCTAGACGGTCGTTAACGACCCGTGCGCGGTGGGTTGCCTGTTCCCCCGGCGCGCGGGCGTCGAGCTCCGCCCCGAGTCGATTGTGTTGCCTACAGCCTGGGCGTCGACTGCCTGCTAGCCACTCGCGCCTTTGTGGCGAGCGAGCTGCACATTAAGAAAGTCTTGTTCAAACATGTAATTTTGTTTTATTGTGTTTTATTACAATGCAGGGCGCAAACAACGAGGCGCAGGGCCTGACGGCCTACAGGGCGCTGATGACGGTCAGCCCGTTGACGGACAGGCTGGGGCTCTGGAACTGCAGGCCGCGCCTCGGCACGAAGAACCTGTCCAGGTCGCTGGCGTAGCTGAAGTGCCCGGGCAGCACGCGCGTCAGCAGGCTGTCGCCCAGCTGCACGTCCAGCTCCTCGATCCAGTGGGTCGGGCCGTAGGGCGAGGCGTAGGGCGCGCGGAAGTCCTTGGACGCGATGTACAGGCGGATGGTGCCGCCGAGCTCGCGGCACTCGTAGGCGGGCAGCACGGGCGGCCCGCTCTCCGTCAGGTAGAAGGCGCTCAGGTGGTCGAACACGCAGTGGTAGGTGCGCAGCCCGCCGCGCGGCGCCGTGGAGCCGCCGCCCAGGGCGGACACCAAGGCCGTGGCGGCCATGAAGAGGTTGCTGAGGAACATGGCGGCAGACAATGCGGCGGCGGCGGCTCGACGGGGCTCTTATACACGGCGCGCACCGGGACCGGGCCGCCGATAGGACAACCCGACCGGGCAGATACAGCTCAGAGTGACTGACTCGCGCACCGGGAGCGCACGGCTTGTCAGCGTACGCCACGGGAGGAGGCGGGTAAGTTCTCGCTGATACATGGTCGGGTATTTCAACAATTTTAAAACAGGACGGTTCTGTGACAATGTGCGAACGGCACTGGCCGTTCACACTGTATCGGAAACATTCTGCAAATACCTTCAACAGACCGTGAGGAAATGCCACCTCAAAATTACGTTTTTGTTTGTGAAACAACACCGCAATGTTTTTGCATTGTCATGTATACGTTCATACAGCTCGTTGCCCAGGCAGCGTCACTAGCGATACGAAAGTTGGGGGAAATAGCGCACCTGCAAAGCATCACCCCGTCGAGACAAGAGCAACAACCGTTGCACAGTAAAGACTATCTTCGCGTTTTGCATCAGGCCCCTGAGTGGTGGGGGGTTGCGAGGCACTCTGCATTCCACCGGCAGGCGGAAATATGTCGTGCCCCGGGGTGGAAAACCGACGTATCGGGGGGTGTTGCGGAGCGGGGGCGCGAGGAGTGGGCCCGGCGCGAGGTGTTAACAGCGCGACGCGCGGCCACGGGCGCCTGAGTCGCTCGCCTCCCGAGCTCGCCTCCTACCGCCATGACGAGCCGCGGTGCTCTGGCCGCCCTCGCGGCCGCCCTGCTTCTGCACGCGGCGCTGTGCCGCCCCCAGGGTAAGCACCGCGTCAAGCGCCGCGCGTCCTAACCTCCACCCCCCGCCCCTGCCTAACGGTCACCCTGGCTCTCCTGCAGGTCCCCTCGACGGCGACCTTACCCTGGCGTTGCCCACCCTCGGCCCAGAGGCGTCCTCCGAGTCAGCCCCGCCGGTGCCTGCTTCAGCGTCCGTCCCAGCCCTGCCAACAGACCCCACACCCGTCCCTGTCGCGGGAGCTTCCCCGGCGCCCCCGGCGCCCGAGGCGCCCTCCGGGCCTGTGGCGCCGGTCATCCCGCCCTTCCCGGTGGACGAGCCTGTTCCGGACCCCGACCCGGCCAGCAAGGTGTTTCACGCCGGCAGCATAGGGTTGGGCCACACTTTCGTGTCCCTCGGCGGAGAGCACGCCCAGCCAACTGAGTATCACCACACGTCGAAAAACTCCTCCTCGTCGACTTCGTCCACGTACTCGACGACCAGCACTGTCGCCAACGGTGAACGGCACACCGAGACCCGCAATTCCTCCAGCAGCCACACCGAGGACTCGCAATCTGAGGACACCGTTGTCTCCACAGCCACGGCACCGACGATACTGGACGACTCGGGGGAGGTGGAGATGGTGGGCCCCGGCGGTGAGTAGCTCTCCTGGCACTGTGGCGTCTTTTGGATTTCCTTGCATCCCAAACACACACAGTAGTGTCCCTCCCTTAGGGTTCGGGGTCCCCGGTGCTCCTGGCCGCACTCAGCAACGAAGTGTCTCTCCCTTAGGCTTCGGGGTGCCCGACGCCCCCGACCGGCCGCAGCGCCCACCCCGCTGCCCAGCCCAGAGCCACAAGAAGCCTGTGCCCCCGCCCTCCCCGCCGCGCCTGCCACCGAAGCCCAGCCACCCAGTCACCATCCACTGGGAGCCCCACCGGGAGGCGGACCCGCTCGCCGCCCAGATGCCGGACTCGGGCCGCCGGCAGTCCCTGCCCGCCGATTACGATCCCGTGGAGCCCGAGTACTTCGGCCAGGACTCTGTGGTGGATCCCTGTTCAGAGGAGCCCTCGGCGCTCGTGCCGACGACGAGCCGGCCCCCGCGGCCGCCGCCGACTGTCTCCGCGCTGCCGGTGGTGCCGGTAGTCGGCCCGCCAAGCGCGGGGGCCGCGAGCGTGGCGACGGCGGTCGCAACGCCGCCCGCCGAGGCCGAGACCGAATCAAAGCCTTACACCGGCCCGTACGTCCTCAACTTGTCGCAATCGCGCTCAGCAAGGAGTATCAAAAACGGTAAGTAGTGTTGGTCGTTAAAAGAAGGGTATGCCGATTGAGAAATTACTTATTCACGCTCGACCCTAATTAGACGCCTAGGTTTTTTCATCTTTTTCAGAAAGGGCGGAGAGGACTGAAAAAGTTGCAGCGACGAAAAGGGAGCAAAGAGCAGAAAGACTTTATGGCGTGTGTGGAATTTGTGACGAGTTAGAAGGCAGTGAGCTTAATCGCCCAGAAAATATTCAAGTTAAGGAGTTCATCAGCAGATGGTGCACACAAACATATGGCGAATCAACGCTGGAGACTTGGTCCACAGGAATTAGCAGTCAGAATTGGAACGAAAATGAAGGTGTTCAAACAGAAACATTGAGCCAGACCACAACACACACGAATACTGGAACAACCGAAGGAGTTTCCAGTGTTGCTACAACGCACGAAACATCAGATCAAGTGACTGCAAGTGCCACGGCCGCACATGCTGCATCGGCAAGTTCCCAGGCATTTGAAGCAGCCTCGAACGCAGCGGCTTCCAGTGAGTTTGCATCGGAAGCTGCTTCACT